CCGCTCCCACTGGAAGGCTATTCCAGGTATCTACTACCCATTCTATATCACTGTTACCGCTCCCACTGAAAGGCTTTTCCAGGTATCTACTACCCATTCTATATCACGGCTACTGCTCCCACTGAAAGGCTTTTCCAGGTATCTACTACCCATTCTATATCACTGTTACTGCTCCCACTGGAAGGCTATGCCAGGTATCTACTACCCTCTCTATATCACTGTTACTGCTCCCACTGGAAGGCTATTCCAGGTATTAACTATTCTTGCAATAAGCAACGGATCCTGTATGACCAGTTGATGTGCAATTCCTAAAACATCGGTGCCTTTAAAACTCTTTCCAATGCTGAAATACATAAAAATGAAAAGTAATTAAGATATATTTCACAATTACGCACAAAGCATGTCCTGCATCAAACATCAAACACAGTTCCCATTCTCTAAAGATAGTTTGATTAAAAGTGGTTGTTAAAATTTCCGATGAGCGTGATCTTTTCTCTCGAGCCTTCTTGTGGTGTCTGTGCATCTGCGCCTTACGGGAGGCTAACTAATAAAATGTCCCTCTCAGTTTGTCATCTGTTTCATTATGCAAAATATATACTTTTCATTTACTTTGTCTTCAGTGAAAATCAGTTATCTTCGTCCAACATAATGATTTCTCTGTGTTTCTCTCAACCTCTGAAAAGAACGGGGCCCTAAAATCTCTCCTGGAGGTTCAGATACCGGGAACCTGGGGTGTGATAAATTTAATGTAATGATCTTTATATTCACATTTTACAAGAGATTGTAATAGATTAAAGCTGACAACAGGATTGGACTCCAATTGATCTGATGAATGGAATTTAAAAAAAAATAAAAATTAAACATTTCATGTGACATCTTAAGAATATATTATTATTCTTCCTTTCTCTTTGAAAATTAACCGTGCAAAGTTTAAATTATTTTTATATTACATTCTTGAAATTGCTTTTAGCTTTTCCAATTTTATTAAAATAATTCTGTTAAAACCAAGGCCCAGTCCGTTCTGTTAAAGTATCCGTGAGCTGCTGCTGCAATAGTCAGTCTCATCGCTAAAGTGGACACGAGATCTGACGAGTCAAAATATAGCGATTCATTTCCACGTCACGTGGATTTGCTAAGCTGTCTTCTCAGCTCGTTGGTGTCTGATATTTTCTCTGAAAAATTGATGGCCATTCGAGAGCCACAAAATTATCACTGAATTAGGAAACTCAGGATACGCTTTGCAAACTCTGAAAGGGTTCATCTCTAAACGGGACTTGTGAATTAATAGTCGGTTGAGGTTATTTTTTTTATTTTTTTATAATTCCTGACAATTCCCAGTTTAGTGACTAACCCTGTCGATGCGTACCTAAACCAGTATGTCAGGATTGTATATATTACGTGAAACTTATTATGAGATGTTTGAGTTTTCACCCAGGATACTTCCCAGGAATAATCTGAAAGACAAGATCAAGCAGACGTGATTAAGAAATTATACCTTTACTTAGTTTCCCTTTTCCAGGAAGATTTCAAAGTAAATCCAAACAAATGAGTAATAAAAATAAAACAAAATATAGTGACTTAGTAATTAGAGAGGTGCTTCCTTTAAGAGTAATCCATTTCACTTAGCCAGGATCAGTTCCTTGAAATCAGTCCAAGTTGGGTTAATCCAAATACAATTATCGTTTTGCCGGTCCGAGTCAGTTAGGAGTTAAACAGTCCGGAGTGTAATCCGTAAATCGCATCCGGAGTGCCAAGCCAGGAATCGGTATGCTTTAGATCCAGCGGAGGGTTAAGGGGGTGAGGCATATGAAGAGCTCTGTCTTGCCAACGAAGCAGTGCGGCCTGAAGGTGTGATACCTAGAAAGAAACACACGGTTCACATTAACAGTGCTGTGACGGCGTGCGTCTAAATAACGCAGCGTCCGTCAATGATTCAATTTCAGAGATATACACTCCCGGATATCAGAACCTCCCACAGTACCTAAAACTCAGATTTAGGGATAGAATACTTAATGAGTTTCTCTGAGCTGCATTAAAGGTACACACCAGTCATGAAGATAGATATTTTATATTGCCAAATGTGTGATATTTGTATAAAATGCATAAACACATTGCCCCATCGCTCCATGCCCCTATCTCCATCTCCCAGCAACTGGCCACTTTGTCAGAAAGCCACATGGCTGACTGTGATCAGAATATAGGGACCATTAGGAGCAAATGTGAAATGCGTTGACCACAGGAAAGTACAAATTTGCAGAGAATATCTTGCAGCAGTAAGTATTGCAGTTAGCATGTTTATCTCCCGTGTTAAAATTAATGCAGGACCCACGGACATTGAGGTGGACCTACACACAATATGGCCAATATGCCCATTACACAGTTTATTTCTCAGTGGCAACACGTCACGAGACACAGAGATTCAATCTCATGAATCTTGGCAGTTAATAAACTTTTACATAGTAAGAAAATTTCCCTAAAAACAGTACATTTTCCGGGGGAAGCCTGAATTTCGGCCATATGTTGGTTTGACTTGGCAGAATTTCATCTTTCTAAGCCTGAGAACAAATCAGATTTCCCAAAAAGGGAGCAAAAATGGGCCTATCAGTGTACTGCAAAATATGTACATAATATAAATTAAATAAATATAATAAACATATCATGTACATATTTTGCAGGACACAGGCACATTTTCCCACAATTTGGTTGACAGATCAAGTGATAAAAAGTAACCAACAGAAACAAAAGCAGGAGGAGCAGTGTAAATTGATAATTATCTACGTATTAAAGGAACACTATAACATGTATTCCCGATGCTATAGTGTTAAACCCACCATTGGTGGCCCCTTAAAAGTTAATAAAACTCACCTTATTTCCAGCGCCGTGCGGGCCCTTGGTGACATCATCATAATTGCTGATTCTTAGCCACTGGATTGGTGAAAATCGGCAAGGGGACAGGGTCAAATGCCGTTTTGGCCAATCAGCACCTCCTCATAGAGATGCATTGAATCAATTAGGCCACATTCCCTCTGTGTCCCACTATCCATCAAGTGCCCTGAATCCTAGGAGTTCACCACGGAGGACACAAGGAGGAGAACAGCAGACAGTGCTTCAATGAACCTTCTCATTACCATCCACACGCAGTTGTGCTTGCGGCATTTCTGTTTGTGTTCTGTACCTTGCCATATGTATAGTGTAAGTATTACTTCCTCACCATATATGCACTCACCACCACTCACCACAAACTGAGAACCAAATTCTTATACATCATGGCCTGCTTTGTTGCTGTAATTTATCTGCTGAGTGCTGGTGGAGAGTGTTGAAATCAAGCCCTCGCACCCCCAGCCCACAAAAGTATAAAACCCTACAATCGCAATACTACCAAACTAAGATTATGTCCAAATTCCTATTACTCATGTTGTAGCGGGCCCTGGGTAACCCCCACTGTTAATGAAGGAAGAGACCCATTTTCCCCAGTAACTGGGAAACACACAGTTTCAGGGGTACAACAACCACTTTGGCTACACTTGGCTTTATACTTTCCCCATGCAAGAGGTGGAACACACACAACAACAATGTCCCCTCCCAGGGTCATCCCCCTCCCGGGGGTCGCATAATGGAACCGGAACCCCAATCCCTTTGTCCCCCGTTCCCACCACTCCATGCTGCCTCCCATGGTCCCACCCCCCCTCATTGCGGCCTGTTCGTATGACAGGAACTCCAGTCTCTTTGTCTCCAGTTCCCAGCACACATATTCAGGGTTTCCCATATCCGCTGGCCAAGGGTTCTTCATCCATTCGGGTATTAGTGATTGTCCGCTAACCTGGTTTTGATCATATGTATCGGATCACTCACAATATGTGTCCATTTCTGACAGCGACTCCCTCCCTCTCCCAGTCACGTGTGGTGTTCCCCAAGGTTCCATTCTCGGCCCCCTACTATTCACATTATTTATAAATTATCTGCCTAATGTCTGCAAATCCTCAAATGTACACATGTACGCAGACGACAGTAATCTATGCGAGCAAATCCGATCTACCGCAGCTTGAGGCTGTGCTCCAAGACCAGTTCACAGAGGTAGAAAAGTGGATCACAAAAAACAAACTCTTCCGAAACTGTCACAATGATCTTTGGAACAGTACCTAAATTACACAAATTACACAATTTCTACCTATCCATCAAAACGAATTCAAATGGCATGCTGACTGCAGTCCACTCTTTCAAAAACTTGGAGATGATGTTAGACCCAGGCCCGGACTGGCCATCGGGCACACCGGGCAAATGCCCGGTGGGCCGCGGTGGCCATGGGCCGAGGCCGGCAGGGGAGGTCCCAGGATCTCCCCTGCCGGTCTATGCAGGGCCGGCACTCTCCTAGCGCCGGCCCCGCTTTGTGCCACGACGGGCCGGTGGGGAGATCAAGGATCTCCCTGACCGGCCCACATGCGGCCGCCGGCGGGGAGGGAGGGAGGGAGACAGCCAGCCAGGCTGGAGAGAGGACCCGGCGGAGCTCTAACTTGCAGCTCCGCCGGGTTCCTCTCGCGAGATCCGGCGCGTTGCCATGGCAACAACCGGATCTCGCGAGAGTGAACTCTAGCCTCACAGGCTAGAGTTCACTCACCCACGAGGACCACCAGGGAACACCGCGTGCTGGACCCCCCCTCCCAGTCCCAGCGTGCCGGACCCCCCCTCCCTTCCAGGCTAAAGGTAAGAAGGGAGGGGGGGAATAATGACTGTTTTTTTTATTTTATTTTTTTATTTACCCCCCCCTACACACACACACAATAACATTTATACAGCACTCTCACACCCATCACACACAGCACTCTCTCCCACAGCACTCTCACACCCATCACACACAGCACTCTC